CATTTTTAACTTTGAGGGCCCAGTGACTTGGATACAGTGTCCTTGAACATAGTAGGTATTTAATAATGCTTGTTGAATTTATGGAATTGAATAGTATTACAAATGCATTCCTCCTGTAGCAAAATCCTTTGCTACTTAAATCATGTCTAATGGCAGTTTCTTCTGTAGCATATGACAAATTGGATGTTACAAACCAAACCTTGGGCTGAAAGTATTACCATACCTCCAAGCCTGTATTTTCACTTCAATTTATTCCTCAGTTTGCTAATCTTCATTTGTACACAGTACAAATCTTCTTAAAAGGAATCCAACACAAGAACTTTGGGTTATTACTTCTTTCCAAATTACTGTCACTGGGTTGCAATGTTTGCAGTGATTTAAATCTTTTATATTGGTTTTCCTTGTGCCTGACCACAGTCTGAATGCCACATATTTAAATATTAAAAAGAGCCTCCAAAATATAATATAAAATTATATTTCTTCACATTTCCATTATTCTAGTGGTGAAGTACAGTTAATAAAGTAGTGAGTTATAGAAATAGCTCAGAGATTGAATTTGAACCTAATCCACAGAAGTATCACAAGAAATGTCAGTAACAGAAAAAGGCCATCTGCTGAACAGGCCTTCTGCCTTTTACAGATTATCTCTCCCCTACCTCCTTGCAATTACTCTCTAACCTTGAATACCCTTCTCCAGAGACTGTTGAGCTCATTCTTACTTTAATCATTTCTCTTGGAACACAGAGTTCCATTGCCATTTAGAAAATGCAAACCCATTTATAGGAACCAAATAACATAGTTTATTGAGCCATTTATCCATTTATCAATCTATCTACCTATCTATTTCAATAGCATACCATCTAGACCTTTGACACTTCTGCCAACAAATTAATATCAAGAGAAAGTCAAACAATGGAAAAGGTGTACAGGCACATCATTAAATGTTTAGCAAAATACTCAACAACCTGAATATGTTCATTCCGAAAAACACTCTGAAAACCAAATTCTGATTTAAGTAGCTGGCTTTTTTTTTAGAAATTAAATTGCCTATTAAATATTTTGCTCTAAAGATTGATAACTCATTTATGAGCTAGCTAGATGATGCTATGTTTCAAACAGTATCTTTCATATATGTATAGAATCAGAGCCACAAAGGAAGCCTTTAAGAGGCCAACTAGTGCCCTTTCTTGGCCCTTTAGATGGAACTTCATTCAGTTTCCCATACCCACCTAAACAGATAGCATAGCACTCCATTTCCCCCAAGATCTCCCGAGAATCAGAAGGTTTAACTTCACTAGGTAACTTCTGTGATGACCCTCACTGTCAGAAAGTTTTGACTTACAGATGACCTAAATTCCTCATGCTGAAGTTGAAGCTCGTTTGTACTTGTCTGCTACTCAGTAAAAAAAGAAAATAACTTGTCAGTCAACTTCTATATTCACTGTGGGGATATTACTAGAATATTAAAAAGCAGCTGACTTCAGGAGAAGCTTTCTTATGTTTCACAACTTTCAAAAGATTATTTCATGATATAATTAGGGCAGCTAGGTGGCCCTGGAGGCAGGAGGACCTGAGTTCAAATATGACCTCAGACATTTACTAGCTAGGTGACCCTTAGGCAAGTCACTTAACCCTATTTGCCTGAGTTCCTCATCTGTAAGATGGGCTGATGGAAATAGCACACTACTCCAGTCTCTTTGCCAAGAAAACCCCAAATGGAGGTTGTGGAGAGTCAGATGTGACTGAAACGACTCAACAACAAACATAATAAATGACAATAATCATTAGCTGTTCTAACAAAATATGCTATAAATAACATATTTTGTGGGAATATATGTGAGATTTAAAGTTTGTTGTTTCAATTTTTTGCCATTTTTTCTCTGAATAACTCCAGTTTAACCTTTCCCTGGACAAACGTTACTTTCCTAGCTCTTGTCTTTGTGACTCTCCTTGGAAGCCTCTCCCACTTCTCTGTATTCCTTTAAGATTTGGAACCCAGGGCAGATTAAAATGAGCATACAGAGAGACGCTAAATACAATCTAACCCTCTCCACATTCAACACTTGTGTATTGATCAGAAGCACACTTAATACCAAATTACACGATTGACTCAGCCGAGCATGGTACCCATACGTGTCACTCAACTCACTCAAGGACATCTGACGTGTCAGACAAGCAGACAGACTTCTTCAGTACTTAATAAATGCTTATTGATTGACTGGCTTCTTCTGAGTCATGGCCAGAATCATAAGACAGAAAGGATCTGTAGCAAGTGCTTCAGCGTCTTAGAGGAGTCCTGGCAGCATTCAACGGCCTAATGATGATGCACTCACTTCCCCTCTAAGACCGAGCATCATGAAACCTGCAATACCCACCAACATCCCATCCACACAGGAAACCAGTCACTATAGCCTCTTACTCAGAAGATGACACTGTGGCTTTCATTGCTTGATGTTCTGAAGGACTGGAAACAGAAGGATGTGTAAAGAACAAACTTCCATTCAAAGGCTTTCTTATTAGGGGCATTTTTCACTCTAAGCAAATTAATTCACTTTGATAATATAAACAGTTTGGGAACACTCATATTTAAATTGATTTGAAATGTTAGATGTAATGGATGTCTTTACTATAGAGAAGCAGTATTGCCTAGTGGCTAGAGTACTGGACTTAAGGGTCAGGAAGACCTGGGTTCAAATCTTGCCTCCACAATGTACTAGAAAATACACTAGACCATGGAAAAGGGGCTTAGCCTCTCTGTACCCCAGTTTCCTCATATGTAAAATAAAGGGGTTAGACTAGATTACCACTAACAGTGCCTTGGAGCTCTATATCTATGATCCTACAAATTTGCATTACAGGCATTTAATAGCTATGTGACCCCAGGCAAATCACTTAACTTCTATTTGCCTCAGTTCCCTCATCTGTAAAATGGGAATAATAATAGCACCTACCTCCCAGGTTGTGAAGACAAAATGAGATAATAATTGTAAAGTGCTTAGCAAAGTGCCTGGCACATAGTAATCAGCACCACATAAATGTTAGTTGCTATTATTAATTATTAATATAGTAATATTGGCTTATAAGTACAGTTAGGTCAGCAATCTTGCCTCATTTATTTTTTAATCTCCCATAGTACTTAGCATGGTGTCTTGCACATATATTAGATGTATAATAACTGTTAAATAAATGAATAGTCTTAAATATACTTCCAAGAGGCTCACACTTTTTTGAATTAGTTTACATGGGTTCGTGAGGTTGCTAAGCAAAATAAGTAATATTTTCATGTGAATTCTTTCATATTTTTCAGTAGTTTAGGAATGGTTTAGTGATGATACATGAACCTATTTATCAAAAGACATTGGAAAGTATTACTAATATAAAAAATACTGAATTAATAAAAATGTTCATTCCCAAAAGATTCTTCAAGAAAAGACAATAATTGCTTATATTATTACCTAGGAATCTGTGCTTTCAAAAAAATTACTAAACACTTTATAAAGTATAAAACTCCTTATCATTTTATATAACTTACAATAATTTGTTATTATGTTTTAAAGTCCAAAATCATTAAAATACTTGATTGAGTAATTAAAATGTATTGTTAGGACAATCAGTGATTTTCATCATTTATTATATCACAAGAATAATATTGTGAAAATTGTGAAATATAAAAAAACCTTCTGACCCACAAAAACCAATTGTTTTTCAGTATTCTAATAGTATTCAGAAACTGAATAAGATTCTTATTTTGGGGCTTGGGGAAAGAAAAAAGTAATTAATTTCAGTTACATTTTCTCATCAATAGCAACAGGCAATAACTCTTTAAAATACTGGCACTGAAGAACAGGACTAACCCCTCCTTTAATAAAATGCTTCTACAAACTGTTCAGTCACTTCAGTCTTCTCCACTAAAAACAAAGTGCAGTAATTCATGCAAGAGGTAACTGAGCTATTCAGGTAATGACTATCCAGTTTGTAATTTATCCATTACCATTACATCCCCTTCCTTTGATCATTACCATGAGACAATGGGAGAAAGGAAAGGAAAGAGAATTAACATTGGTCTCTTTTCAGCTTATAAGTAGCTCACTAGTTTTGGTGGGAGAGAGTAAAAATCAGTTAAAATGAGGCTTGACTGGAAATAGTAATGTAAATGACCTGAAAGGGTTAATGCAACTCACTTTCCAAAATCCCTAGCTTACAGATATATCATAGAACTAAAAATGTTAATTATATATGCTTTCCATTATCAGCTCAGTTATCTCTGTGGCCACACTGAGAGGGATCTAACATGCATGACTGAAAACTAGAGGTAGCCATTTAAAAGTCTCATTTTGGCCAAAAGTTTCAACCTCATTCTCTACCAAGCCATTTAATTTAGTACCTTGTGGCTTGAAAAGTTAATAAATCTTTCCTAGGGAGTCCAATAATTTCTGAGAGTAGCTTATGCCCTAGGAGAAGCTGGCTCACCTCATGAAAGATAACTCCATTGTCTCCTTAAAGAGTATCATCCTCCTATTTACATCAGAGCATATAAAACATATGAAAAATGCTGTTGTCCACTATTTCAAAATGGAAATTCTTGTCCTAATATTGTCCATCTATGTCATGTTTTCTTCGACTTCCCTACCCTTTTATTTCCAAAGTTGGCAAACACACTTTTGAATATTATCATTTTTTTTCCAAGAGGGTAGGATGCGAGGGAGGGACCTGGGGAACTATTTGCTCTACTTGGAAAAAATGAAGGCTGTTATTATTTCCTTTAAAAAATTTTAAGTTTTTCATCAATAATATTTTATTTTTCCCAATTACATGTAAATACAGTTGCTGTATTATATTCCAAAAAATCTCTGCTTCCCCTCCTGCCACCCTCAGATAGGTTAATGACCTGAAGAATCAAGCAAACATGAATCAGAACACACTGCTCTTGACAGAATTTGCAAAAAGAGAATAACAAATAGATTATTGACAGTTTTCAAAGTTTGATGTCATACGCTTACCTATGCACACTAGATCCATAAAACCATACATCCCATAGCAGATTTGAAAGAGGATGTCCTTTCTTTGCCACACCGCATAGGGACTGAAGGCTGACCACAGAAGCCAAGTCACACTTGCTATTAAGAACAGTGATCCTAGGATTACAGCAATCATCTGAACTTTCTCAACCAGTGTTATAGAAATGCTTTGCCACTAAAAGAAAAACAAAGTCATGTAAGAAAAAATGCTGTTTATCACAAAAAAACCCCAACAGTCCATTGCCAATAGATTGGGTTTCCAAATGTACTGTGCTGTTTCATCAAGATTGCAATGGAAATACATAAACTGATTAAGATGAATGAATTTCTTCAACTTCATTATTTTCAGTAATTTACCAGTCTGCAGGAGTTAATTTCATTATGCCCCAGATAGTACTACTATATAGCAATAGCTCAAAAAATATTTAGCATCTGGGAATCACATCTATTATCTTTCACACATGCATGAAATTAACTACTATGAAGATACATGAGGATTCCACTATCTGCACTTTATCTTGGTTTTCTCAAAGTGCCTGGCTAGAGGATAAAATGCCCCTTTGCTTCCTATTTGAAAAAGAAAAATTAAAGGAATAAACTCCACAGGATTAGCTGTGGAACAACACTTTAGCACAGCGTTTCCCAAATGAATTTGACCACAGAATACTTGCAATAAAGACATTAAGCGCTGGACCAGGGTCAGCAGTGGAGTTTGAAATAGCCCTGCAACAAAGGAGTTTGGGCATATTTTGCATATGCCAAAGGAAATTAAGCATACTTTTATACTAGGAAAAAAATGTCACAACTTCCTGATAACACACAATTTTATACTGAAGAGTTTGGGGTGGGAGAGTGGACATCATAAGCATTGCAATTTTCTTAGGGGATCTTATTAACCTCATAGGGACTGTTTGGAAAATGCTGTTTTTATAGAACACCAAATGACACAGATAATCTTAGATCTCTGAACAACTGTAGGCTTATTCTGATTTTCTGCAATCCAATGCGAGCAAAGACTCAGTGACAATATCTATGGAGATCAACTGGGCAAATTTTGCAAGCATTTAAAATTTGTAAGTATTTGAATGGTTATTAAAATATTAAAACTGTATTAAAATAGCTTTTCTTTGCTTTCCTTTTCTTTTTTTTCCCCTTTTATCTTTTTCTTTTTCAGAGATTAGGTCTCCCTATCTTGTGCAGATTAGAAGTACAGAATCCACTCATGGGCCCAATCCCACTGTTGATCAGCACAGAAGCTATGGCCTGCTCCATTTCTGATTTGGGTCACTTTGTCCTTCCTTTCCTCTGTTCACAGAGCTTCCTGTACTGATGACAGACTTAGTACGAATATTTGGACAGCTTTAGTCCTACCACAACTCCGAGCCCCTGGACTCAAGTGATCTGTGTCCCAGCCTGAGAGCAGCAAGGATCACATACACGTGTGCCTCACCACACCCAGATAAAAATAGATTTCAGTGAAAGAATAATATGTATGCTCTTGGCAACACCAATTGCCAGAAATGATAACATAAATGATTAAGAATCTATGAAGAGCACTATCCACTTCAAATTTTTAATTAGTCATGTTCTCACTTTTATCAAAGTGAGACAGAAACAAAATTGCAATTAATGTTATGATTTGATAAGTAACCAACTTTGGTTGGTCTCCAAACCCACAATCTTACAACACAGTATGTGAAGCAACTTAAGTTGCTATATAACAAGTGCCTTTCAAGAGAATTAATAAATGTTTTAAATAAACTTTACTTTTTAAAAATTAAGTCTTAAAATAATTGGTGTTAAGTTAGAAACATCTAAATTTCCATTACCGATGCTACTCACCTGTGCCAGCCTAAGTGTTTGTTGCAGGCCTGACTTCCCTAGAATATGTTAACATCCCAAATGATTCACATACATATACACATGCGTATCCATATGTGAAAGGCACTACAACATAATGGACAAAAAGCCAGCCTTGGAGCTGTGAAGCCATGGGCTCAAAGACTGCTCCTAGCACACATGAACGGCAGCTCACTTAAATTTCGGACTAGTTGTCCATCTGCATTGGTAGAGAAATTTTCCTAATCAAGTGTTCTCTGCACTGATGAAATCACAGGTCTAGTTAAAAAAAATAGAAATTATACACAAAGGTATGTGTATATAATATATACATTCACATAATGAAGAAAGAAGAGATAGGGGAAGAGAAAGTAGAAACAGGGCTCCTGCCCTCAAGGAGATGTGTGGGTGTCTATGTGTGTGTGTGTGAACTGATTTTTAAAAATTGTAATGCTACTAGCACTTTGAAATATTTCATTTATAACCAATTTTATTTAACTGAGTCATTGCTTTAAAAATATTAAAATTCCATCAAGGCTTAAATGTAATTATACTAATTTTTAGGTAAGCCAAATAGTAGTATTATAGTCAATTTCCAATAAGAAGTTTCATTTCTTGAGACGAAAGGTATTGCATTTTTTGAGGCTCTGTGAGCATAATAGGTTAGAGAACTAAACCTCTTATTTTTACTTACCATTACAACTTCCTAATCCTCCTTGGCAACCTGGGAAATACTAAGAATCCTGTTTGAAATATGACGTGATTGGGAGTAAGGAATACAAACTAGAATCACCATTATTGTAATGGAAGGGCTCTACCTGATTTATGTCACACCTCTGCAAACATACGCTTTCCCAAAAAAGATAAGAATAAAGATTATTTTAAAGGCCCAATATATGTTAATTCTTTGTTATTAATATTTATAATTATAAGAAACTTCCTTTCCATCACACTGCTTTGGAGAAATTGAATTAAATTTGGTTTTATATTCAAATGTGTTGCCCTTCTGTTTTAATAAAATAGATCAACATACTAGAAAAAAAACTGGATTCAAACTGGGAAGACATTAGCACTTAATACTTTAGGCAAGTCACCAGATTTCTGGTCCTTTATTTTCTCATTTATAAAGTGCGAGGATTTTCCTAGTAGGAAAGGGATTGTACCTAGTAGGAGAGGATTGTACTAGTTTATCTGTAAGGTTTCATGCAATTCTAAAATTCTACGCAGAAGAAACATTGCATTTGGAGTCACAAGGACAGAGTTCAAGATTCATCTCTGCACTTAACTAGCCATGTAACCTGGGGCTAGTCACTAAGCATTCTAGGCCACAGTTTTGCCAACTATAAAATGAGTATGACAGAATCTAAACTCACTCTCTACTTCACAGTAGAGTATTTGGGTATCTCTTGTGAGTATCAGATGAGGTAACTCTTTAAAGTGTTCTATAGTTCTATAATTCACAAAGTACAATATAAAGGCCAGCTATTATTATAGCAAAGTATTAGCTTTCACTGAAGCAAGAGTTAGTTTGGGCTGTTTTAATTTTATCGTGGATTTTGTTTTTAAATCTATTAAAAATAGAATGCACAAAATTCAGAGCTAAGTTGCTGAATTTCCTATTTTTCATGACTTGAGCACTGATAAACATACATTATATGTATTGTAAGACACCAGGATGCTGAAAGTTCATCTTGAGTTTGTGACAATCTAAAGAACAAATGAAGGATGAGGAAGACCTGAGTTTGACTAGTGACTTGGTCAATTATTAGTTGTGTGACCCTGAGCAAGTCATTCAACCTCAGCTTCCTCATCTGTAAAATGGGGATTATAATAGTACCTACCGCATAGAGTTGTTGTGAGTACCAAATGAGATTATATAAAGTGATTTGCAAATCTTAAACCACTATTTAAGTGCTAACTGTTATTATTAACATTAATTATTATTATTATTATTTTAAAGAATTGAGCATCACCACAGCAACCATTTAAATATCTGAAATATTTTTCCATGGATTAGACTGTAGACTTGGTCTCCTTGGACCCTGAAGACAGAAGTTCTACAAAGGGCAGAAGTTGAAGAGACAGATTTAGTCTTGCCGTAAGGGAAAGTTTCCCGATAACCAGAGCTATTCAGAAGGGAAATGGGCTGCCTCTGAGGAGATGCAACAGATAGAGCACTGGGCTTGGAATCAGGATGACTCATCTCCATGAGTTCAAATCCAGTCTCAGACACTTAGCTCTGTGACCCTGGAGAAAGTCACTTAACCCTGTTTGCTTCAGTTCCTCATCTGTAAAATGAGTTGGAGAAGGAAATGGCAAACCACTCCAGTATCTTTGCCAAGAAAACTCCAAATGGTATCAAAGAATCTGATTCAACTGAACAATAACAACAACTGAGGAAGCAGGACCTTAAAGCAGCGGCTGCACACCTCCTTGTTGGGGATGTCCTACACTGGATTGCTTTTCAGTTTTGAATTAAGTTAAACAGTCTTGGAGACCCCCTCATATCTCTTAATTTGTTTCTGCGTTTGAAATGTACAAATAAGATGAACGAATCTAGTAGGTTCCTAAAGATTAGCATGAGTTCATTCAAAAGCTAGACAGAGAAGCCTTGTAACTATAGAAACATATACAAAGAAATCTGAATACTAGCAAGGTGACTTTCGTTCACGAACATAGATATCATCTTGGTGATTTTTTTTTAACATGTTGGCTATCCCTACACCTTCATTTACATCAAGCAAGATTTTGTACATTCTTCCCACAGGAAAGACATTCATTTAAAAAGATAGGTAAATACCCCACCATCCTTGTCCTCTGCAGTCATACCATTAAATATTGCAATCAACTTTCAATTATCTGTGTTAATGCTTAGTTAGCACAGATATAATAAAAGAATAGATAACCTTCCCAGGGTTTTCTTCTCTGCCCCAGTGATTTAAGTTTCAATATATGTCTGTAGGAGGCTTCTGAATTTTGAACCCAAAGCATCTACACCATCTTCCTGCACAGAATTTATAAACTGCTAAACATTATAGTGTGTTTTGACATAAAAATATATTTGTATCTCTTCAGAGACATAAAAAATGAAAGATGGAGAGGAACAATAATCTTGTAAACAATTGCCAATATTTCTTTTTTTTCACACTGAGATATTTACTGCTATTTTATATTCTCACAAAACCTACCACTTTTCATCAGAAACCACTAGAACTAATGTTTCCAAGAACAGAGAGATCAACTGGGCCACCTTTGGAGAGTGCAGTTCCTCCTTTCAATGAGCACTGATTAGTGCAGTGCCTGGCACATAGCAAAAGTTAACATTATACATTAATA